CCTGAACAGAGCCCTGGGTGTCTAAATAGTACCCTGGGTGCCTGAACAGAGCCCTGGGTGTCTAAATAGTACCCTGGGTGCCTGAACAGAGCCCTGGGTGCCTGAACAAGCCCTGGGTGCCTGAACAGAGCCCTGGGTGCCACGTGCTGGTGTTCTTTGATGATAAACGTCTGAACTTACTAGAAAAGGGTGTTTTCTCCTCATAACCAGAGTACTGATGAAAGCATGAGTTCAAGAGGCTCATCAGCCGGGGAAGGACAAGTAGCTATTCGAAGTGTTTCTGCTTGTGTGAAACATCCATCACTCTTATTAGAGCGCCTGAGTAAACACCTCCTTGGCGTTGTCTCCGTTGACCTGCCGAGCTGAGGATACGTCAGGGAGGACTTCTCCTATTGCCAAAATGAATAAACCCTTGGGTAAATACTGAGCTCTGTGAGCCCTTGGCCAGGACAGCTCCTGCTCATGTGCTCGGGAACAGGCTGTGACTTGGTCCAGGACGGTTGTGCCGTCCCCTTTCTCCTCCCACAGCTCCCGCTGACACGGGACACACTCGGGCGTCGGGAAGAGTCAGCTGGAGTCAGAGCACTTCTGACCTTCATTCTGCACCAAGAGCAGGAGAAGGTGGGAGAGGGATGACTTTTCTGCTCTACACTTTTCATCAGCTTTCTCCAGCCTGGGATTCCCTTTTCTGCTTTTATTCCCAGCAAAGGAGAAAGCTGAAAGCACATCTTTGATACGGAACCGGGAAGAAAGATGTTACAGGTCGTCTCCTTCCACTTAAATAGGATAATGATGTCCTTCCTGGCCAAGAGGAGCGGGCAGTGAGCACAGTAATTTCACTAATAACGTGTTGATTTGCATGATTAGGGGCATAATAGGCCGACACAGTGGTGTGTGTGCATCCTGCAGCCATTTACTGACAGCCAGGTGTTGGTCCATCCACACTGACCTGCAATAACAAAGGAAACGTGGGGGTCATAAAAATAAAAGCTTGTTTATTTCTCCCTCATTGTGTTCATTTGGAGAATTACTATGTGCTTTCCCCTCTGTTCAAACCACCCACACTGCTTTCAGAGGTTGGAGGTGGTTCAGGTTTTAAATAGCTGGGAAAGACGTGGGATCAACTGAAAAAAAAAAACGGGAACATCCAGGAGGTTCTTCTATTTTTTGCCCCTTAAATGGAGGTCTCTGCCGTGCTGCAGCTCTCTCAGCACTTCAAATCTTGTAGCACAACAACAGGCTCTTTAATTATTATTATTTTCCCCCAAAACAAGCAATACTTGGCGTTATTTGAAGCTGAGCATGGCTGTGTTTATCCAGGACAATCTAAGCCAGACGAAGGGATGTGGCAAAGGCAACTTCCATCCCTAACCATGAATATTAATCATAAAGTTCAATTAACAGGAGCTGAAATTCCATGACAGTTCGGAAGTAATGATTTAATTGAAAAGGTCTTTAGAAGTACGTTTGCCGAATCGTTTGAGCCAACAGATTCTGCAATACTTAAGCCATTTGTTGATTTTTGACTTGTGAATAATTAATGTTCTCTTCCAGACTCCCCTCTCAGTACAAATATTCCTTTGGGACACGGCAGCATTTTTCAGCACATGAAAAGTCGCATAATCCAGACTTAGTCTTGGATCTCCACGGTAGATCACAACAGAAAATAATCGCTTTAATCCTATTTGCTGTTATTTTCATCACCCAGAAATGACTTACTTGCTGCCTGTCCGAGGTTATTAGAGTTGTTTCATTTGCCAGTGTCACCTTTTTGGTGCTGTCCCCTTTTGATGGGGGTTCAAGGGATGTGCACCTGCCTCCTGAGGGGCTCCAAGCCCTTGCAAGGCGGAGAGTTGCCGCTGCTCAGCACCCTCCTGGATGAAATCCGGGGTGGTTTTGTTCTATTAATTGAAGTCTGAGTCAGTGCTGGTTGTTGTTACATGTTCCCTTCGGATCTGCATTGGCTCCAAATCAATATTTGTGTCTTTAATCCCCACGTGTCGCCTCCCAAGCGGGGAGGTGGGATGTGTGTAGACTTTTGATGCCGAGCTCCGGTTTTGGTGTACGACGTGACGGTTCTGGCATTAAGAGGAGGATGGTATGAAAAGCTTCCTGACTTGTTACATGACCACCATGTGTGTCTTGCTCTTGGTGTTAAAAATTGTCACTGCTTGGCACTTCCTGAGCTGAGGTTCCTCAGAGAAGCAGGGAGGGAAGGGCTGCCTCCCTTGCAAAGCGACTCGAGCAGACGCCGCCGTGTCTCGTGTAATTGGGGGCTGTCACTGCAGAAGTCCTGTTTGCCAGGTGAATGGAAATCACAGCACTCCTGTATGTGCCTCACATCCTTTGTTCCTCTTCTCTTGAACTTGCTGGGTTGTTTGAGCCATTTTCTGGCGGTTTCCTGCCCTCTGAGGCCGTGCAGGAGGTAAATTCATTTTCACAGGCACCGCAGGGACACGCGGCTCCTCAGTCTGTTAATAAGCGGTTTTATTTCTCAGTCACTTTATATGCTACTCAAAGAGATGGAAATCTAAACAAATACCAGTAATTACTGATGCACTTAGCAAATCTGAATTGGATTCCTCGACCCAGTTGAGCAACAGACCCTCTGGCAGAAAAGCCGCCACCTGCCTGAGAGGAGTCTGTCAAACTCCTCTAATTTTTTTGATACTTATTCATTAAGGTGATGAGCAGCAACAGAGAAACCACCATCTGCCTCATCTGAATCACTGCTATCCATCAGGTTTTGGGGACAGGTCTTTGTCCACATCTTATTTCCTTGTTCCACTACCGGTGGGACTGCGAGGACCTCTCAGGTGTAGAGTCTTGCCCTGCACTGGGGGAAGTGTTAATTAGGGTGTGGTAATGAGAGTAAAATAGACAACCACCATCTAGTCCAGCTGGTTGACTGATGGTGGACATCAGCTGATGATGGTTGGCAGCTGAAGTGGTGGAGTCACCGTCCCTGGGAGTGTTAAAAAATGAGCAGATGTGGCTCTTGGGGACATGGTTTAGTGGCCACACTGGGATTCAGTCAAAAGGTTGGACTTGATCTTGGAGGACTTTTGCCATGATTCTGTGATAGTGGGAGGTTTTGTTCTGCTTCCACTTGTGTTGCGTGAGTAGAAGGAGGCCGATCATCTCCACTAGCAGTGAAATGACAAAGAAAATCAGGTTATTAACTGTAAGGAGCAGCTCATGTTCTCTGCTCGTGAGGGGAGGTGTGAGCGGGCCGTGTTTGCTGTCTCCTGGGCTGGGTGTGTGAGGGTGAGGAGTTGGGTTTGCCTGGTTGTTAATGTGGGGTGGGCACTGTGTCTGTGCTTCTTTCCAGTATGGTGATTATGATCCCAATGTCCACAAGAGAGGCTTCCTGGCACAAGAGGAGTTGCTTCCAAAGCGGGTAAGGAGCTCAGAGGAGTCGGTGGCCAAGCTGCCTTCAGGTTGGACGTGGGACTTACCTTGGGTTTCTTCTGGCTTGCTGGCTGAGAGACAGGAGCAGCAGTGTGACCTGGTCTGTGTCTCCCCACACATCCCAGGTGATAAACCTGTACCAGATGACTCCAGAGATGTGGGAGGAAAGGATCACGGCCTGGTATGCGGAGCACCGGGGCAGAGCGAGGTGAGCCTGTGCTGCCCTGGTGGGTCAGGGTCACAGCCCTCCCCTGAGGAGTCACTGGGGAGCTTGGGCAGGCCATGGCTGAGCTCTGCTGCCAGCAGGTTAATCCCAGCACTCCTCTGCTGCAGCCTCATGGAGGGCAAAGGGCTTTTCTTGGTGGCTCTGCTGTCCCCTGGTCGCTCTCAGGATCCTCCAGAGGATTCAGGAATGATGCTCAGTGAGGGCTCACCTGCCTCAGGGGGCTTTCAGGGCCAGGAGGAGAAATGGGAATTCAGACCCTATTGCTGCCTTGGGTGGCAAAATGCTCCTTTTGGGGGATAAACCTAAAGTCAGATGGATCTGAAACAGGGGCCTCCCAGCCAGAGGTTTCCTATTTATGCTGCAGGGACTGGGAGGTGGACAAAGCCAGGCTTGGAGTGCTGCATCTCACAGCCACTAAGATGCTGGTGACTGCTGAGTGGGATTTGCTGTTGGACTTTATTGATCCTGCCAGCAAAGACAGGATTGACCTGTGTGATAGAGACAGTCCAGGCTTTAAAGCCTGGTGAGTGCTTAGGATGAGCAGGAGCAGGCACGTCCCTCTGATCCTCCCCAACACTGTCCCACCGTTCCTGCCCGGCAGAGACGAGGCTGAGATGGAGTATCTGAAGATCGCCCAGGATCTGGAGATGTACGGCGTGAACTACTTCGCCATCAGGGTGAGTGAAGCCGTGGGTCGTGTTTTCCTGCTGGTGCAGCTCTTGTGTTGGTCTCCACATCTCGAGTTGAGGGTGGGGAGCCCTGGAGAGCCAGGAGGGCTGGGAGGTGGCTGTGGCACAGTGGGGAGCCCCAGCTCTGCTCTCCTGACAGCCGGTGCTGGGTCGCTGCTCGGGGCTGGCTGCTGGAGGGAACAGGGGTTCGTGGCTCGCCCTCTCAGTGGGATAAAAGGGATTTCTGCTCTTTTCTTTCCTCCTGTAGAATAAAAAGGGCACGGAACTGCTCCTTGGAGTCGATGCCTTGGGGCTTCACATTTATGACCCAGACAACAGGTTGACCCCTAAAATCTCCTTCCCTTGGAACGAGATCCGGAACATCTCGTACAGCGACAAAGAGGTATGGATGTGTCTCCTCTCTTCCCTGAGACCAGCAAGAGCACAACTGGGATTTAAAATGATTTCTCTTGGCTCCTCTGTCTGCTGTGCTTGCTCTCAGCAGCTTAGCTAAGGGCAGCTCAGCTGCTCCAGTTGAAACCTTAATTCCAAGCCTTCCCGAAGCCTTGCAGGAGTGGGCATGCAAGAGGTCACCTGGGAGCTGTTCTCCTCTTTGGTTTCAGAGAACGTTCCAACCCTCCATGTAATCTTTTCAAAAACCCAAAATTGCTGTTGATGTGCTTAGCCCAAATATCAGAGTTCAGAAGTTAAAACCTCTGCTTTACTGAATATATTACAGTATTTATTACTGTGGATATACTCTGTATTATGGAATACAGGGAGATGTATTCCTGGGGAGAAGAGCTCTTGCCATCTCATTACATCATCTGGAGTTTCAGGCTGTTGGGCTTGGCATAGCAGCTGGAATCTTTTTAGGAAGTTGAGTAATTTAAGCCCAGAGTCTAAATATGGGTATTTGGGACTGTTGGCCCCCAAACCCAGTGGAGAACAGCGGTGGAATTGGCTGTGGAGGGGGAGGACTGAGCAGTTCAGTTTTCAGTCTGAGAGAGCTGCTCAAAGAAAGCAGCTGCCTTCATGGTAAGGAAGAGAATTAACTTCTTAATTAAAAATGGTTTTCTAATCTAAACATGATATCGATCAGGGGAGCAGCTAAAGGTTTCTCATCAGCTGCGTTTATTGCATGTCTTGTGACGTTTTATAAGCACTAAAGCCGTGCTGGAATTCTCCTCACTTGCTTGACTCCTTAAAGAGCTTCACGACTCCACAAACAGCTCAGCACTGAGTGACTTCCAAAGCTTCCCTGCCTGGATAACCTCCAAAATCCAGGGGCTGACCCCTCACAGCCAGGCCTTGTCACAAGGCTGTAACAGAGCTTCCTCTGGGGATAAAAGGATGGATCCCTTCCCTCAGCTCAATCATCTGTATAATCAGATGGCCATGACAGCAAACAGGGCTAAGAGCTGGGAATGACAGCTCTGGACACCACAGAGGGGTTTATCCCTCCTCATGAAGATTGACTGTTTATGGGGAGCTGAAATTCCTCTCCTGCCTTATTCCTGCTGCTGCTCCAAGTGACTGGTTCTGCCGGAGCCCGAATCCAGGGACATCCGCGCACGTCTGCCTGGGTGAAAGCCTTAAGGGGTTGGCTTTTAAACTGCCAAAGCCAAGCAGTGCCAGGACAAGCTCTTTGAGCCCTTTGCAGGCAGGGCAGTGCATGACAAACCTCCCTGTGCTAAGGGACACACTCTGCCTGCTCCAGCTCCTCAGCCCTTATCCCCGTGCCGTGGGGGAGATGGAGTATGCACGTGTCTCCTGACAAATGCGTGTTGCAGAGCACTCCATCTCTTCAAGTGCCCTTTTGAGGCCCCTCTCTATCCAGGGTTGTCTTCCTGAACCCCTCCAGGCTGTTGATGCCACCTCTGTCCTCTTGAGGGACCCGCTGTGGGAGAGCTTTTGGAGAGGGGAATCCCAGGCCATGGGTAGAGCTGTTTGCTTGGCACACAGAGTGTGAATACAAGTTAGAGCCGGGGAATAACGTTTGGAATTGTGGAGAAGGCTCATGACACAAATGAGTTCTGGAGAAGAAAATGCATGGAAAATCCTTTCGGGGAGCTCTTGTGAGGTGGCAGCAGGAAGGGCAGCAGCTCCTTGCTGTGTTCCTAATGCAGCTCTCCTGCCCTTTTAACTGCCTGGCAGGAGGGTGGAGGCGGGTGGGGATCTGGCTCCTCTCCCAAGGAAGAAGGGACAGGGTGAGATCAAACAGCTTCAAGCTGCACCAGGGGAGGTTTAGGTTGGATATCAGGGAAAATTTCTTCACTGAAAGGTTGGTCAGGTGGTGGAGTCACCATCCCTGGAAGTGTTCAGAAAACCTGTGGATGTGGCACTTGAGGACGTGGTTTAATGGTGGTGCTGTTTGACAGCTGGACTTGATGATCTTAAAGGTCTTTTCCATCCTTAACAACTCTGTGGTTCAGGGCAGCTGAGCTGGTTCTTCCTCCCTTTCCAAGCATCCTGAATTCCTACTGGGGATTCTCCCAGGAGAGCAGCACCTTGCCCTGTGTCCCTGCCCACCTCTGCAGGGTGCTCTGCAGAGGACACGGGCTCCTGTGGCTCCAGGGGAGGAACAGTTGTCTCCTTGGCCGCTTTTGCTGCGAGTCCTCTCTCCTGGCTCGGAGCCACAGGGCCGGCTCTGAGCCGTGCGTGTCTGACCCTGCCGGCCTCCTGCGAGCCAGAGCTCTCTGGGAGAGTTTTATAGCTGCCTTTTTATTAAATGCACCACTCTCTGATAACTCTCTCCCTCTTTATTTTTTCCTTTTCAGTTTACGATTAAGCCGTTGGACAAAAAGATTGATGTTTTTAAATTCAATTCATCAAAGCTGCGTGTGAATAAGCTGGTAAGTGTGCAGACAGTCATTTTTACTGCCTGCAGCACTGGGTTCTGCAGAGAGTGTGAGACAACGAGCTCTTGGGGCTTTTCCTTCGAGAGGGAGCTGCTGGAGCTGGGAGGGGGTGTAGCAGTTACTGCTCCCTCTAGGAAATAAGGGGGGGTCTCAAGTCAAGCTCCTTCACAGAACCTCTCCCCCCTCCCCTGTTTTTGTGCTCCCTTTCTGAGCTCTTGGGTTACAGCTGACTTGGTACAATGTAGTCATCATCCCCAGCTTTGCTCAGATCCTCTTTCTTCCCTGTGGAGCTTTTCCATCCTCCCTGTGTCGTAGCTCTCCCTGTTTTGGGAGGCACCGTTACCAGAGTCCTGGCTTTTCCCAGGCTGGTCCCCTCTGAGGACACTCTCCTTGTACAAGGATGGAGGGGGCTACACTGGGTTCAGCATCCATGCTGGAGACCAGCTTTAGCTGCTGTTCTGGGTGTGGATCTGTTGTCATACAGGGATCTTTGCTGTCCTGGTTGGAGGTTGTCCTGTGCTTCTCACAAGGCCTTCCTCACAAAGGCCTCATTCGCTGCACTCACCAGGTTCACTGTGCTGAAACTCCTCTCACTCCAGAGAAGTCATTTGAGGCTTGGGAAATGTCATTTGTCACTTGGGTTGTGGCTGTCCCATCCCTGGAAGCATCCAAAGCCAGGTTGGATGGGGCTTGGAGCAACCTGGGACAGTGGAAGGTGTCCCTGCCCATGGCAGGAGAGTGGCATGGGATGATCTTTCAGGTCCCCTCCAACCCAAACCATTTTAGGATTCTATGAAATGGAAGAAGGATGTGTGAATCAGCCCTTTAGAAAAGAATCTGAGTTTAGCACTCTATTTTTATTGCCAAAATAAGCTTTCACTCCTCTGTGTACCCACCCTGTGCTAAACCTCCTCTGGCACTGCCACCTCCCTTCCCTTACCAGAGGGAACTACACTGGTGCTCAAAACCCCTCAGCAAAGGTATCTGAAGATGTCCAAGGAAGTTTTTGATAAGCCTTCTGTTTTTCCAAGATGAAAAGTGGTTTTCCTCCTTTTAATTTATGTTTTAATCTCAGTGCTTTGAACGTGCAGCTGGGAGGAGGCACAAGTTCATCTTGAACCTAAAGAAGGGGCTTAGTGAGAGCCAGGGAACCGGGCAGAGCTGGAGAAGTTCTTATTTCATTATTTGGCCTCTTGCCTTTTTAGGGTGGGTATAAAACATGCCAGAGCTGTGCTGTGCTGGAGGCAGAGAAAATTGGTCTCTGCAGAGAGCTGCTACCCAGGAGCCGGTGTTTGGTGTGGGACTTGGCTCCCTGCCCCTCCTGAGAGCTCACAGGGTTTGAGAGCAGTGGGTGGAAGCACTAACAAGCACCAAATCAAAGCAATTCTAGTGTTTCTGTGTGTCAAGAATACAAACCACCTCCTCGCCATCACGTGTGTACAGCTGTTTCTCTCCGCTCTTCACCCCTGACTGGAACAGATCCTGCAGCTGTGCATTGGGAACCACGACCTCTTCATGAGGAGGAGGAAGGCAGACTCCTTGGAGGTCCAGCAGATGAAAGCACAGGCCAGGGAGGAGAAGGCCAGGAAGCAGGTGAGCCGCATCTCCCATAACCAGTGAGCCAAAATCAGGAATGCAGATGAACTTGGGAGGAAACGGTCTCTGGAATGACATCAAAGCACCTTGGAGGGAAGGTCCAGCTGAACATTTTTTGGTAGCCTGCTCCCAGCTCAGCAGTCATTCTCAGCTTGGCTCTGCAGGTTGATGGCCCCCTGAGTCCATCCCCCAACCTGGGACCAAAACCGGGAGGCCGGGAGGGAGAAGCTGCTCTGGGTGTCTACAAGTGTTTTCCTGCCGGAAAAACCGGGGAGGTCACTTGTACTTCAAGCAGGGGCTGTGAGGGGGAGCTGAGCCCTTCTCCTCCCTCGTTCCCTAATTGCAGGGTGATGGAATGCGCCCCCCGGCAGGGCCCTGCAGCCTGCATGTTAATTCCGTGCCCAGCTCCTCTCCGAGCCGCGGGTCACGGTGGAGGCAGCGGCGTGTGGCCGACGAGCAGAGATCAGCAAATTGAATTGTATGAATCATTGTTTTCTGCTTGTGGACCTTCTCTACTCACTGAAACCCACACAGCTAATCTGGGCGCTGGTGCTCGGAATATAAATGGCCCTGTGGGCAGTGAAGCCAATACATGGGAGCGGGAGAACCCGGAGCAGGAGAAACCGGGAGGGTCTGGTGCTCACAGGGCTGATACGGTGTTGGGTGTGAGCGTGTCCACAGAGGTGCTTGTGTGGTGTTGAGGTGCTCAGATGGGCTGGAGATGGGATGTGCCTTGTTCTTCAGGCACCTCCTGAGGTGTTGGGCTCAGTGTTGAGGTGCTCAGCTGATCTGGAGATGGGATGTGGCTTGTCTTGAAAGCACCTCCTGAGGTGCTGGGCTCAGTGTTGAGGTGCTCAGCTGGCCTGGAGATGGGATGTGACTTGTCCTTCAGGCAGCTCCCAAAGCAGTTGTCCCTCCTGTAGCTTGTGGGGTGGCAGGAGGGGGCAGGATGTGAGTCACTACAAGGGTAACCTGGCCAGCTCCTCTGGGGAGGGGGAGCTTCTTGCTTCCCACAGGGATTCCTCTGGTCAGTAAGAACTTGGCTTTATAGAATCATTAAGGTTGGAAAAGCCCTCTAAGATCACCAAGTTGGACCGTTAGTGCAGCACCAGGGAAGTGGTGGAGTCACCATCCCTGGAAGTGTTCAGAAGTGGATGTGACACTTGGGGTTTTGTGGGTACACAGTGATTCGGGGCTATGGTTGGACTTGATCTTACAGGGCTTTTCCAACCTTAATGATTCCAGGAGTCTTTAGGTTTTCCAGTCTTGTGAGTTTTTGATGTATTTGGGTAACTCCAGCAAGACCTGAGATCCTGTGCTTATCTGGGCTCCTGGGAGAGCTGAGGAAGCAGCAACTTAACGCTTCACCTGAGCTCCCAAATCCAGAGCACTTGGGCTCCATGGAAAGGTCAGGCTCCTGCTTGGGCTGGCTGCCCTCTCCCGAGCCAGCCACCATCTCCCCTGCTTCCTCCTCCCTCCCACAGTTGCTAACTGGTTCCAGATAATCCTTTTATACCAGGAATTCTTGTTAATGGAAGTCCCGAGCGGGATGCAGATTATAATGATAATTAATGAGGGGAACCTTTAATGGAAGGCAGCAGAACGGTTGGAGCAGTGGGCGTCCCGCTCTCAGAGCACAGCTGGGCTCCAAGGAGCAGAGAAATGTGGCTTGTCACACTTCCTTCCCTTATTAAACCCAGCAGGTCTCCTGTCCTGGCTGTGGCGTGGATATTTATAATGCCCATCCCTGCAGGATTGGAGGGATTAAACTCGGCGTGTTAATTAGCCCGATGGCTCCCTTGGGCGCTGGGCTGGTGGAGAGGCAGTCCTTGGGCACAGCAGCACTTCTGGGAAGAGCTGGCAGGCTCTGGTGGCTTGGATCTTCCCCTCGTGGAGAAGAGCAGCTGTTTCCTGGAAGCTGAGCTGGAGGGAGAGGGTTTATTGTGTGCAGGAATTGCCAGGGGTGGTTGCTCTCTGTGTGACCTCCCTCCAGAGGAGTGGAAGGGAAGGTTGCAGCGTGCTGGCTTAGATGGCTGAGCAAAAGGTCCTTCAGCCTCCTGCCCTGGGCTGGGCCTGTGTTGGACGTGTGGAAGGTGCCCTCAGACTGCCCTTCAAATCAAATCGCTTTCCCTGCTTCAGGCAAACCCAAACCCTTGAGCCCAGCCCTGCAGGGAGAAACTGCAGACACAGCTTGGACCCCGCTTGTCCAGGTCTGCCCTGTGACTCGGCCTAGGGCACTGTCAGGGGACATCATCACCTGCCAGGTGTGGCCACGCTGTGGGTGACAGCCTGGTCACAGGATGGGAATTGTCTCTGGAGTGGCACTTTTCAAGGGAGCAGGGGGCATCAAACAGCCTGCCCAGGGCAGTGATGGAATCACCATCGCTGAAAGTGTTCAGAAAACATGTGGATGTGGCACTGGGGGACGTGGTGGCCTTGGCTGTGCTGGGGGACTGGTTTGATTCCATGATGTTGGAGGCCTTTTCCAACCGAAGTGATTCCATGATTCTATTCTATGGTCAGGTCACCCCAATCCAGGGACATTCCCCATGTCCGTAAGCAGAGAGGAGGCAGCAGCTCAGCCCTGTGCTCCTTCCCCCACCTGTGACCCTTTCTCATCCATGGAAAGCCTTCCTAACGTGTGTTGTTCTCCTCACTTTCCCCAATCCCTTCTTCCCAGATGGAACGGCAGCGCCTGGCGCGGGAGAAGCAAATGAGAGAAGAGGCTGAGAGGACCAGGGATGAGCTGGAGAGGAGGCTGATGCAGTTAAAGGAGGAGGCAACAATGGCCAACGAGGCTCTGGTAGGTCCCTGGGAGGCTGTTTCCCGAGGCACTGCAGCTGCTCCTCACTCTTTCCACTGTGGAAGTGTTTTTGGAAGTGCACTGCGACTGTGGCTGCTCCCAAACTGCTGCCAGTGCACAGTGAGCAGGAGGCTGGATGGAGCTATTCCATCCTGCTGGGCTGCTTGGGAGGAGCACAAAGAGGATGATTTGGGACAGAGCCTGGCCCCGTGCAGGCCTTGGCAGCGGGCTGTCACGGACGGGAGGGGTTCTGTGGAGCGTGTCGGCAGCTCCCGGCCCTGCCCCGGGGGCTGTGAGCACATTCGGGGCGACACGGAGTGCAATAAAAGGCTTCATGTGCCTGCATTGGCAGATGAGGTCCGAGGAGACAGCAGACCTGCTGGCAGAGAAGGCCCAGATCACGGAGGAGGAGGCCAAGCTGCTGGCGCAGAAGGCGGCGGAGGCCGAGCAGGAGATGCAGCGGATCAAGGCCACGGCCATCCGGACCGAGGAGGAGAAGCGGCTGATGGAGCAGAAGGTGCTGGAGGCTGAGATGTTGGCTCTGAAAATGGCCGAGGAGTCGGAGAGGAGGTCAGAGGGTACAACCTTCCAGCTGCCTCTGCTTCACTTCCCACCCCCTTCTGCCTTAGCTGGGAGGAGCTCCTGCCTGGAGTTATCCCTCCAATGGGACAGGAGGGGCTCCTGCCTGGAGTTATCCCTCCGATGGGACAGGAGGAGCTCCTGCCCGGAGTTATCCCTCTGATGGGACAGGAGGAGCTCCTGCCTGGAGTTATCCCTCCAATGGGACAGGAGGAGCTCCTGCCTGGAGTTATCCCTCCAATGGGACAGGAGGGGCTCCTGCCTGGAGTTATCCCTCCGATGGGACAGGAGGAGCTCCTGCCTGGAGTTATCCCTCCAGTGGTGTGCAGGGAGCCCTCGGTCTCCCTCACAGCAAATAGCCCTGTGGCCCAGCCTATTCCCCTCTCCAAAAGCCTCTCTGCTTTTGGGTGCTTTCTGCAACCCTCCCCTGCATTCCCCGAAGTCTTTGACACCATTCATAGCACCTGGGGTTGGTTTTTCCCCTGGGTGGTAGATCTCCATTCCTTATTCTCTCTCTATTCCTCTACTTGCCTCTCAGTTGTTCAGTTCTCCTTCCCAGCCATGAGCTCTGTTCCAGGTTAGCCTTGAGCTCTCCCCAGCTCTTGGAGTCTTTGCTCCTTGTTAAAAGCTGAGCCCAGGTCCCACGGTGCATTTGGTAGTGAGCAAGTAAAAGATCAGTCTTGTTTCCTTCCAACTGATTACTCCTTTCCCTGTAAGAGCCTGCCTGGTGCCAGCCCTTCTGCTTGGATGAGCACTGTTCTTGTCCTTCTCTTCCTGCCTTGGTCTCTGTCGTGTGAAGCCTCCACTCAAATCTCAATCCAGCAGAGAAATCCTCCTTCCCTCCTTTGGCTTTTTCCTTCTAGGGGTTCCAGAAGCCTCGAGGGTAAATACTGGTTCTGGAATTGCTGTCTTAGCACCCTTCCCAGCCCTCAGCCTCACTCACTGACGCTCACACAGAGCCCATTTGTGAGCTGCCCTTCCATGGCTTGGATTTGGGTCCCACAGAGTCAGAAGTTCTGCCATTTCCCCTCCTCAAATGGTTTCTTTGTTCAGGTCTTGCTGCAGGACAAATCCCAGCCAATTCCACACCTGCACTGTGATACTGCTTCTCCATCTGCTCGTTCCTCTCAGCTCCAATGTGATATTTGCTGTTTGCTGCTTGTCTTTGCAGGGCAAAGGAGGCAGATCAGCTCAAGCAGGACCTTCAGGAGGCTCGTGAGTCGGAGCGGAGAGCGAAGCAGAAGCTCCTGGAGATCACCAGCAAGTCGTCCTACACAGTAAGAGAGATCTGGATTGTATTCCCCAGTTCCCAGCCCCTAAACGTGCCCCCCTCCACAGCCTGGAGGCTGTGGAATTCTCCAGATATCCATCTCCAGATCTAAGAATTCTCCATCCCATCCACGGAGGGGCTGAGCTGCCTCAGTGCTGCTCAGAAACCCTGAGCAGTCCTTGCCCTTTTCATCCCGGCGCCTCATCCAGCACAACATCACTTTGCTCTTTTTTTGTTTCCCACCCACCTCTTGCTACGAGAGCAAAGGAGCTGCTGCTGAAATTAAAGCAGCAAATTTTAAACCAATTTAACAGCCACGTCAGAGCTGTGCTTTGCCAGCACGTGTGGAGAGCACCAGCTCAGCAATAGCCTTTAAAATAGGGTTAAGTGTGTCCTTATTCTTGTTAGGTGGGATAAACATTGTTCAGAACCTGTTAAATTCATCCTTTGGGCATAAACTGGACCTTTATGTGCTGGAAAAAAACTTCCTCGAAGAGAGATTATTCCATAATTGCCCATTAAGAGGATTTCACACCTTCCTCCCAAGCATCTGGTCCCGGTGCCTGCCGGGGCTGAGACGCCAGACTAAGTGACCATTGTTCTGATCTGTCTGGCAGTTCCTTTCCTCTGCTTCCCCAATTGTACCTGCAGACCCCATCAGGTGCCCCCTCCCTGCAGCTCACACCTGCCAGAGCTGCTGCCTGGCTGGCTTGGGAACAGGGAATTGCTTGGCAGCATCAGGAATAGGCTCGACAGACGTTCGTGGGAGTTACGGACCCGCCAGCACTGAGGGTTGGATTTGTACCTGCAGGCTCCTTCCTCCTGCTCTGGAAACTTTAGAGGAGCAGATTGGAGAGGGATTGAGATGAAGCAACTTTTCATCCCAATTCTCTGGAGTTCCCTGCAGGAATATTTGGAAGCTGTTAAAAATAACGGTGATGGGAAATAATCAGTTGCTCTCGGCTACGGGACACTCAGTCAAGTGAGTGCTGGATAAAGCCCAGCTTTGGAGTGCTCCATATTTAACAATTCACTGGGAATCTGGGATGCACCAGCTCTTTAATTCTGGGTTTAACTTTGCACAGGGAGGGGTGTCCTTGCTGGAATTCTGCTGTGTGGCTGCACCAACCCAGCGTGGAATTTGGGCAGCTCTTGCACATCCACGTTCCCTCGTGTTGCCATGTTCATCCTTCATCAAACCAGCAGAGCCCCTGCTGAAATCCCGGTGCTGGGGAGCAGCTGGGTGGCTCTGTTCCTGCCTCATTAGTGGGAATGTTGTGGGATTGCTTGGAGCTCAGCTCCACCCCTCCAGCTGCATCTGCCTGGAGGCAGCTCACACAGAACTGTCGCTTCCAGGCACATGGGGCTGTGTCCTCTCCCTTCCCTAAAGAGCCTTGGCCTTCCAGACACGGCTGCCAGTGCCAGGAGGGAAGGGACTTGCTTTTATCCTCTCCCCATTTGGGTGTCAGGGTCCCCTTGTGCAGCTGCTGCTCCTCCTGCCCCTCTCCCTGTGCCGTGTTGCTCAGACTCCATGCCTGTTGTTTTCCAAGGTCAAGGGAAGACTGGTGTGACCAGCATGTCTTTATCCAGGTAACAACACCTTGCTGGGCTCTTCCATCCCCTATTACACCTCCCTGGACTGGGGGGAGCCTCCTCCCCTGCCAGAACATGGAGGGAACCTGTTTTGAAAGCTGGTTTGGGGAAGTTGTGTCCCTCAGGTAGATGGCAGCTCTGCCACACTTTGCAGGATTCCAGCTCCTCCATCCCTTAAGGAGGGTGTAACATGGGGCTTGTTCTTTTCCATGAGCCCAGACTTCTGCTGTGTCGTCCCCTGGCACTGGGAGCTGAGCAGGACTTCCCTTGGTGGGGAACAAGAGCAGGAGAGGAAGGGGGGAGTGGATGGATACAGAATCATTTAGGTTGGAAAAGACCTTTAAGGGATCAAGTCTGACCATTGACTCTGTGCTGCAGCAAAGGCAAGAAGCAGTTAAATATATGTATTTTTTAACTTTCCAGCCTCCAACCGTGGTTCTTTAAAGCTTATTTCAGTGTCTTTTTAGTCCTTGGAGCCCAGGCTTCTTTTATGATGTCACTGATGGGTGATGCATGAGGAATAAGACATGGATCTGAGTCTCGGGCCATCAGGGCTTGGAGAACAATTCATTCCTTACGGACTTGGCGGCGGCTCTTCGGCTCCTTCACTGCCCTTCAGGTGCCACTCCTGGCCAGAGAAAGGCAGTCATCCTTCTTCTAATCCCCTGGAAGCAGTGAGTGGCTGTTCTGGGCTTTCCCAAATTCTGGAGCAGTGCAGTGGCAGCAACAGGAGGAGCTCTCCCTGCGGGGGAAACCTCCTGCCTCGCTCTGTGCCTCCCCTGGATCCACTGTCTCGCTCTGTATTCCAGAGGGACCAGAGGGATGACTGCTGTCAGCCTGGGGCTTGCCTTTATTAACAGCAGGAAATTGCTGTAATGCAGTAACAGGGTTATACAGTTTGTTCCAGGTGAGGAAACACATACGGAAAAGGATCCGTGTCCCCTTTATCACCACATGGCCCCTTGGATTAAAAATCCCTGCACCTGCTGCAAGAGCTGCCCAGGGTAACTGCAGATGGCAGGGAATGTGCAGCAGGGATCTGTCCCTCTGCCCCCTCAGCTGAGACCCCCCTGCAGAGCTGCCTCCAGCCCTGGGAACAGCACAG